GCTTTGAAGTTTAGATAAACAAGGCAGTTTTCTAAAAGTTTCAACCCAAATCATGAAAAAAACATGAAAATGCCCCGAGAAACCTCATGTACAAATAAGAAAATTCCAAACTTCCAAAGTAAATTATTTTACCTGATAAAAAGTGAAATAACTTGAGTCTAAACATATCCAAGATATAAAAATTTGAACCTAAAAATGTTTATTTCATCTGAAGGGGAAAAGTAAGCAACAACATGTAAAAATCTAAACCAGACTTTAAGTTATCTACAAACTATGAACACTGGAATATGTTCGTTTATTGAGTTTCAAACATCTGAATTATTACGGAAGCCCTAAAGACACGAATAACAATCTTTCTGACTTGGGCTTGTCCAAGTTTTTGAATCCTATAAATGAAGGGCTACATAAGATTACTTTCAAATGTCTATTCCAATATTAAAATGGCAGTGTGTCTAATTTTGGGTGCTGCTTGGATCCCATATACTGATGAGTTACTACTACTTACCACAAAGATGATAAAAATAATTTAAATATACCACAAAATTAGTAATGAATCATTGAAATGGGATTCTTACCATTTTTTAATTCAACTAATATTTGCTTTAAAAAAGAAAAAAGAAAACACAAAAAACTAACAATCCTGTCAAGAAACTTCTTCATGATCTGAGTCCTAAGCCATATTGTCTTCCTACAAGTCAGGGGCCTCCTTTTCACTTAATTCAGAGAGGTAGAAACTACCTGACCACATCTACCATTCAGTTTCCTGTCTGTATTATAATCAATAACTGGTTCAACATGAGGTTATCAACACGAAAATAGAGTAAAGTACTGAACAGGGCCAGCTATAAGTTTTAAAACATACCACAAATGATATTATTTTCCTGAAATAAAAAGTGTCTCATGGATCTGTCCGGCTCTGTTCATTATATTGTTACATGCTCTCTGAATCTGAATCAAACCAGCTAGTTATTTTTACATATTTAAATATACTTTCCACAGAATATAATTCTGATAGCTATGCAAAGAGAATTGCTTTGTATTCTTGAAATCTTATATGAAGAGAATATAACCTCTCATTATAGATTACCCATGCATATATTAATATGCTTGCCTTTTTCTACTTCCCTGGTGTGTCAAATCTGACTATTTCCTTTCCATTTAAGTTCCTAGAAAATTACAAAATTTTTTAAAGCAAAACTACTGCACTATTCTCAGTGTAAAGAAACAAATTTTACTGACAGATTCCTTAGCACAACCAATTCATAAATAAATAACTCAAGGCTTCCTTCTGCACAAAAAATATGAATTCTATGAAAACAATATCCCAAACCATAACAGGCAATTTTGAAAAAGTTATAAACAGTGCATAGTTATTGTAGCCATAAAAAGTTGCTTTTAGTTGACCTATTTTTATAATACAAACTGAAGGGTAATGGTCACATTTTAAACATCTATGTATAAAATACATTTAATATATTCATATTTAAATTGAATGTAAAATTAAGCTATCCTTTAAACAATCTATTTCTTTCCGGGCCTAAAAATGAACTTCAAGGTGATCTTTTTAAATTGTGTATCTCCTTTCTCTTCACTAGGGTAAGGTATCATCAAGTTTCCCCTATCCTCTCTAAAAGCTGGTGACTGAATTACAATTAAACATTCCTTTCAATCAGTTTTGGATAACAATGAAACCCTAATTTTTTAAAAAGAAGCATTGAACTGAACAACCCCTAAATATGAGCCCATCTAAGTGATAGAGTGGAAGGAGAGATACAAGGAAGGAAGGAAATTTAAAAAAAATGAACTCTAACGAGACATAAAATGCTTCAGCCCTAATGATCACAATGCATGTACTTTATATGTACTCTATTAATGGAGATACAAATAAATCAAAATTGTAAATTGTGTTTAACAGCATTAAACAAACACTGCATTTAAAAATTCCAGTACACTGAGAATATCCTTAGTCATAACTCAAAGTGACAGAAGAGAATAAACAGGCCTCTTGACAACATAAAACATTTCCCGAGGTATGCCACAATGCAGACTGGAGGATGGAACATCAGAAAACTCATCTCCACTTCAGTTTCAAACTCTAACACAGGCTCCTGGTTGCTCACACTCTTCCTGTCTCCACTGCTGCCTAACCAAACTGTTGGAGTTAGGAGACCGTGCAAATAATGTGCCTTCCAGGCAAACTTTCGTTTTCTAAAAGTAAATCTCTTCAAATACTTCAGTTGGAAAACGTCCATTGCTGCTACTTGACACCAGGGCGTCACACTCTCCCTTGGGCTTACCTGCTCCTAAGTAACTATTCTTCCAAGCACACTGTGGGCACATTGGGAAGTAGTTCTTTAAGTACTTCTGAATCTGTGATGACCTGCAAGATGCACACCTTACACACTGCCTCGGGTCTTTCACTGCCTTCTTTTCTCCGTCCTTCCCTTCTGAGAACTCACCCAGTTCACTTCATGCACCTCACATCGCAAATGCCTCCATGCCCACCTGGAAGCATGCAGCACTGGGGAGGAATAATCCCCAAGATCCAGAAACTGAGCGAATTTCAACATGTGGTGAGAGGAAACGTGGGGGGATGTGGGGCATATGAACGTTACAGATAGCAGCTGTCCACTAAGTGGTTTAAATCTGTTGGTTAAAAAGCTGAATAAACAAATACACAGATGGATCTAGTTCCTTGGGGACTCCTGATTGTGAGGCTTCTCCTAAATCCTGACGATTTCGGCCTCTGGATTCATCCCTGTGCAAAATACGCATTGGTTGGTTCCACTTTCAAATGACCCAAACCTGCACGCATCTTCCTCTTCAAGTATCTCCTGACACAAATGGGATCCTATTCGACAGGCCCTGAAAAACTTACCTAAGAGATCTTAGAGTCTGGGGATAGTTGGGCAACTTTTCCTCCAAGTACTATAGCTGATGGATCGGGTACCCACAGCAAATGTGGCCTCACACACAGGTCACGGTTTCTGGACTTATCTGGCCTTGACAGTGGGAAGAGGCGCTCCACAGACGCGCGCGGCCACTCAGTGGGTCCTGCTGGGGGCCGCCGCTACACGTGCGTCGCCGCGAGCGCGAAAGGGCACTGCAGCCGGTGCTCAGTCCACAGGCTCTGCACTTACCCCAGCCATCCTTTTTACCCACAGGTAAAAAGCAGTGCAGAAGCCCTCCTTTTCTCACCAAGGTGTCTGAGCCCCTCCCACACTGCTTGCCTGAAGAGTAAGGAGGCGCGACTGCACCCACACACAAAGCAAGGAGCCCTTTACAAAGTGAGTAAAAGTAAAAGCAGGACAGGTCCCTGGGGAAGCGACTTGTGATGGCGCGTGGACAGGGGAGAGAGCGCTATCAGTAGTGGCTAGCGAGATGCGTGGTTATCCCGGGTCACTAGGGGCCATAAATTTCTTAACTGGAGAAGCACGAGTTTCCCCCATGCCTCTCTTATTAGTTCAGAAGTACTTCTGAAATGAATGTCTAACTTAGACCTCAGGAGCGTGCACTTGCCTGGCGGAGTAAATAAAGGTCAGCAGTCGGATCAATACCGTGTGAGCGTCTAAGCGCCAGATGTTTTTACTGCTATTTCTCCTCCCCTGGGGTTGGGGGAAGGAAGAGAGAAAGACAACAAATAATTTTTTTTTAAAGAGTAAACAAACACATCTGGTGTTTCGACATATCTTTTCCTGCAGCCAGGGTCGCTCAGAACCAGACAAAATTCTGCGTATTCAAAAGTTAAAAATAAATCACCCGGGAGCCACCCGCGAATCCGGTTTCTCTGAATCCCCCTTCCCTCATCACAAAGCAAAACGCAAAGGACCAACAAGTGGCAAAGCTGAATCCCCACACCAGAACCCGGACCCTGAGCCCAAATTTGACACATGTCACACTATGCCTGCGTCGCGGAGCTGCTGGCGCTGGGGCGAAACTTTGGGGTCTAAGCGGGAGAAACCCGAAGGAAAGTGGTGGCCCGGACCCGAGTGGAGGTGGTCGCAACAGGGTGGGGTGCAGAGGTGCTGCGCGCCAGATTGAGGGTGAAGAAACTTACCGCGACCGGGGACACAGTGGGCAGCGTCCCGGGAGGTGGCACCCGCCGCAAGCGGGCAGAAGCCCGCAAACAAGACACCTACGCACGAGTCCCAGAAGTCGCGGCCGCGAGTGGCAGTGGGGGCACAGTAGGGGCGCTCCGGGGGCGGGGGCACCCCAGGAAGCCGCAGCCCTAGGACGCGGCAGCCTTACACACGTCCGGGCCGGGTGCGGGTGGCGCGGGGCTCAAGTCGGGGAAGCGGCGGCTGCGAAGCTGCACGCGCCGGCGTGTCTCGCGCTTTCTCGGAGGCTCGCGCTGTCTCGCGCTGCAGCTCCCCCCACCCGGATCTGTGTGTGTATGTGTGTGTATGTGTGTGTGTGTGTGTGTGTGTGTGTCTGTGTGTGAGTGTGCGCTGACGGGCGCGCGCACCCGGCCGCGCGCGCGTGTTGTTGGCAATGCAAACTGTACACACACTGCGCGCTGAGCCGCCTCTCCGCCGAGGGGCGGGAGGCGGGAAGGGACATCTCTGGACTCTCAAGTCTGGCTGAGCCACTTGTTTTGTCTTACTTTGCGTTGTTGGGCTCGTTGTTGATCAACAACAACAAAAAAAACCTGGTCTAGAACTGTCCCTTTAAGATGCCTCTATAGTCCCCTCCACCAATCTTCTCCTGCCACCCCCCCCCACACTTCTTCCGGGGATGGGGGGAGATCGCAGGGCAGAACCTTGTGGGGCGGAGCCTTGGAGCCTCCTGGCTGACGTCAGGTCCACCTGCTATGTAAACAACTCGCTGCAGAACTTGTTTGTCTGCGCCTCTCCTCCCCCACCCCCACCCTTCTCTCCACCTCCTGCTCCGCCTCCTCCCGCGGGCCCAGACAGCGAGTGGAGGAAGGGGGTGGGGAGGGAGGCGAGAACAAAACCGTATGCTGTACTGGCACAGCCGAGTTGTGTCTGCTGCTTCCTGGCAGTCCCCAAAGTACGTCCTCTCAGCAGAAGGAGCTGCTGGCAAATGAAAACAGGGGATTCCACGTGCAGTGCAGAAAGCCTCGAAGGGATCCAAAGCCCTTGGTGGCAGGTACTTAAAGCACTGGGTGTCACTGAGGGAGCCCCGCGCGTGCGTTACAGCTTTGAGTGTTCTTTCTTGCCCTGGTGTGCGCCTCTGCGGCCTGAGTGCAGAGGCCATGCGGCTGTCTGCGCTGCCGTGGCTCCTGTCACTCTTGGGCCCTGGACTTCAGGGGGCTTCTTCGTTGTGGCCCCCCGCAACCCAGGTCACCCGGGCGGGGCTTGGAAACAAGGGGACTACTGAGCTGTGATTTTTTTTTTTTTTTTAAAGAGTCTGAGACTCTAGTGACTGATTCAATCAGAGACTAGGGGAAGCAAAATAACAGGAATGAAAGAAGAAATTGCCAGAGCCAGCTCACAGCACTCTTCAAAGCGAGGGCGCTGCTAGTGTGGGGGATGCGCCGGCCTTGTCTCTGTCACCCAGTCCCTCCTTTGAGCCAAGTCTGGCGGCCCAGCGAGGGACTGGGAGGGAGGAGGGTATGACAGAGAAAAGACCGAAAGAGGTCAAGGCGGGCCCTAATGGGACGCGTGACCTGATTCTGGGTGGGTGTTCCTGATGAGCCCCTTCTCCACCCTAGCTCCTGGCGGGCGGTCCCTTCCTGCTGTAACCTGCCAGCCCCTCCCCGCCGTCGGCCGCGCGGCCCTCTGTCACTGTTGAGGTCAGTGCGCCGCTGCCCAAGCTGCTGCTTTTCTCTCCAGTCAAGAGCATGGCATTGCGAGAAGCACAGAAACTTTTCACCAAATAGCTGTGGCCAAGAGGCCACCGGAAAGAGAGTGAAGGGCCCTGGCTGCTTCCCTGCCCTCCTCCCTGGAGAAAGAGCTGAAAACTTTGCACATTGGGATTGCAGTAGAGGGGCTGGTGGGGTGGGGAGGCAGCCGATCAGCGCTCACTTCAGCCTTTTGAGTTTTCCCTTCCCTCAAAGAGCAAGCAGCACGCCCTTTCTCTAAAGGCCAGAGTTCTTGCTCTCTCCCTGCCTGAAAAGTTGTCCTCTGACCTCCATGTTCACACCACCACCACCACCACCACCACCACCACCACCACCACAGCTGGCACCAACTCGAACTTCAGAACCTGAAATTCTCCGCGGTTGGAAGCGGCCCTGGCACTCACATCTGTAAACACACAGCCAGGTTTGCTAGTGAAACGAACTAAGTCAATAAGCCACCCGGCTGGTCCTGGCAAGACGGCCCCTGCCTGGAGCATGAAGAAGGAGGTAGAGTTTGGCTTTGAGTTGTAGTGCCTTCTGGGAGCTTTTAAACCCCTGGCAGTTCTAGTGTGCTCTGCTCGCGGATGCTCTGCTCGCAGCTGGCGCTCTCTCTCTCTCTCTCTCTCTCTCTCTCTCTCTCTCTCTCTCTCTCTCTCTCGTCAAATGGTCTTTTGCGGAATGGCAGGCTCAAGAGTGGACACATAATCCGAAAATCATTTTAAAGGTGGACGCTAAGAGAGAAGGCAGCCTTCATTAACATTAAAAAATGACCTCAAGGCCCTACTTTGCCCTTCTGAAAGGTGGGGGTTTTGCTTTCTGCATCTATGCTGCACTAGCAAATCTAACTAAAACGGACTCTGAATTAACCTGAAACTGTTTAGAAAAAGAGAAGAGCAGGTGATGTGGAAATCCTGGAAAAGACAAGGATGTACCTTTCCTCGGGCCTGGTGAATAAAGGTAATTGAATGGTCAGAAGGTCTACAGTGCCACATTTCTTTTCCTTCCTCTCTGGCATACACCCACCCCAGTCACTTCCCTTTCTCCCCAGGTATCCCAGGGAAGTGAGCAGAAAAGGTGCACTACAAAGAGTCTGGGCCCTCACAAGACAAGTTCACGTTCCAGAAGGGGAGAATGGCAGTTACTTTCTCAAGGATGGGAGAGGGACCAGGTAGTTAGCCTTTCACTTTTCCTTACACAAAGACCAGTTTGGGTGAAAGCTGAAGTCTCAGACTTTTCTTTCTTACAGTCCAGTCTAGCAGCTAGACTGTCAAAGGGAGGCACAACCGGAGGAGCCCGGCAAGAACCTGCCAAGCACCCTTCCCTGGAGCCTCGCTAAGCAACGTGAGCTCTTGCTTCTCTGCACCCCCATTATCTCTAGCTCGCCTGCAGCCATGCCCCCAGCCACCAGGCCTTCCAGAAGGGAAAGCTCCCGCCGAGTGGAGAAGGCAGATCTTGCCAGGAGCCGCTGCCCTCGGGGGACCCTCGGCCGCAGCCAATGGGCTAGGCGCGGGTTCGAGAGGTGAAAGTTCAGGCCCCGGGCTCACCCGAGCTCCGATGCTCCAGTCGCCTCCCTCCGGGCCCCTCGCTCTTGGCCCCTCGGCAGTCCCAGTCCAGCTACCAGGGGCTGCCACGGTGGCACGTAGTTTGTTGATGGGTGGTCATAAAATATATTTATTTGCAATTCCTTGAACTCGCCCACCACCCCCGCCTGGGCATGGCCGGGAACACTGCAGGCTTTGTTCGCCTCGGCTGCTGCTGGAGCCCGCCAGGGTTTAGCGCGCTGTACTTGCAGACTCCAAAAAAAAAGTTGCAATATCATAATAGGAAAACCGGGTTTCCGCAGCCTAGGAAAACGCTGAAAGGGTAAACACTGAACGAATAGTTTTCTTTTGCAGCAGCCACCGGTCAGCTGTATGGACCGCCTCAGACTTTCAACGAAACGCTGCGTGCTTCAGGGAGAGGGCGAGCCCAATGGTGACCCTGAAGTCGCGGTGCAGCTCCTAGCTGCAGTCCAGGTTTCTCTTGCAGCACGTGGGTCTGCGAAAGTCATTCCAAGAGGTTCCAGGGAAAAGTTGAACCGGCTTACTGGGTGAATGAGCAGTTTCAACCTCGAATCTCTCACGAAAATTTATTTGATTTCAAGTTTATTTTATGACGAAACCGCAAATCAACAAAATCCGAAAGCCTGCTCTATTAGGGTCCTGGGGAAAGATAAATTCGTTTGAAATGGTATCTGTCAGAGTATCTTACACAAAATAAACTACTCCAAATAAGACTAACTGAAGCAGCATGAAGGAAAACAGCTTTGAGGATAACACATTAGAAGTGGTGGTTAAACGTTAATGCTTTTCTGAGTGAGTCGCTTAGACCTTTAGTTATTTGTTATAAAAATATAGTCATTCACACATTTAGGCTGTTTTCTCCAAAACTCTGAATCAAGCACAAACTGCATTTTTCTTTCTCAGGGGCTCTTTTATTGGAAGTAATTGTGACACATCAAATTTAAATGACTTCTTAAATTGCTGGAGAAGGGAGAGGGCAACAATTTAAAATTATTTTACTTTTAGAAATACCATCCTCAAAGTTCTATTGCTCATTCCAAACCCGGCAACAACAACGATTAAATACAATGTAAAACATGTTTCCTTTCACACGGGGACAACAAAAAAGGCAGATTATCAGGGCCCTCTTTTGCAAGTTTGTTAAAGTTGTGTGAAGTTGAGCAAATAAATAATTCTATTCATCTACGGTCTATATTTCCATTCTCCTCCCTGACACAGTGAGGGAAAAGAGAATATTTTAGCTCCACGAAGTCAAACCAAGGATAATGTTACAATGTCAAATTGAATAGAGTCGTGAAATTGGTGGAGTTACACCACCATCTGTCGTTAAACTCTGGGACTACAAAATTTGGGACCTATAATAAATCTTAATGAACTTTCTCAACTTAAAAAAAGTAAAATCACAAACTAAAGTCTCCACCTATATTTTTGTAACATGAAGTCTGAAATTATCTGACAAATATTTTCTCATAACCCATACTGCTGGTCAGGTTCCCTTTTCAGAAAGCAAATAGCCCCTACCTGTTACATTCCAGATACAACTTTTTCAAATCAGTTGTGGGTCTGAAAAGTTCTATTAGCCCATCATGAACACTTTGCTTCCTGTAGACTGCTGAGAAGAACCTTAGAGACCAACTTCAGGGACCACCAAAGTCCTGGAGTGAGTTGAATGACAATCTTCTCTTTAAAATAGCAGTTTAATCCTTTGTTAGTATATTTCATTGCAACACACTAAGAAAGATAAGAGGTTGGCTGTGTAAAAAATAAAAAATGACTACAAGGCATTCAGTACCCAGTATTAGTTCAGAGTTAGACTTTTTAGAAAGACAGATCAGTCTCTCTGGGACAGATTTTTACAGGCTAAGAAGATTCTGTTACAAGGTATACTTCCTCAAAATTAACAGGAAACAAAGGCAACTAGTAGAAAAAGCCTTCCAATTCTCAATCAGAAGCTCTCCTAAAATGTTGAAAATGCTTTTTCACATAATACTCAAAAATATTTCTGCTACATATTCTCAAAACTATAAACAAAACATCTTACTTACTATGTGCAATGTTGCACCCTTAAGGGATTGTAAAATTTCTATCTTCTTGATAATAAAATTGAATTTAAAGAAAATGTTATTGTTTGCTTATGTTGATAAGACATCAACTAAAACAATATTAAGCTGAATCATACAATAGTGTCTATAGTTGCTGAATTCTGACCCAAACAGATGACAATTTAACCTTATTTATGTTAGTTAGCCCATATTTTTCTGAGATTGTCTGTCTCTCAAGAAATGTGTTAAATGTCCAATTCTTAATATATACTTCTTGTCATATTGATTCAAATATGTAGAACAGCCTGGTATAAAAGTCTTTTGCCTGCTGATATTTCTAACATTAAATTAGTCTTAGAGTTATCATGACTCAGAATTACCATGAAGTTTTAGATAAGAATATTCTAGTTTAGACTCTTAATTTTAAAAATCATAAAAGTCTAGACATAAAAGCAAAGATCCAAGTCAGTTACTAAAATGGTTATTAAACCATATCATATTTCTTTTTAAAATTTTTATTTATTTTTATTATATATGTATGAGTGTATTGCCTGCATGTATGTAAGTGTACCCATGTGATGCAATCCTCTTGGAGGTAAGATGAGGGCATTGGATTTCCTGGAACTGGAGTTACAGGTAGATGGTTCTTAGCTGTGAAGTGAGTGCAGGGATCAAAAGCGGGGTCCTCTGTAAGAGCAGCCAGTGCTCTCAACAGTTGAGCCATCTCTCCACCCCTACATTTCATATTTCTAATCAGAATGCCAGAGAAGGCATTCAGCCACACAGCCCACGTCTTTACATTTTTCTTAACATCCATCAATACTGATATGGCTCAGTGGTGGTTAAACCTTTGGATTTAATCACAGTACTGAAGATGGATGATTGTTATGTCATGTTCACTCTAGTGGATGAGACAAAAATTTCTGATGATTTGCTTCTTTAAAAGTCAATTAGTGTAAAAGAGTTTATCAATAGTGTAAGGAAGTTTATCACAGTTGACTGTTTCTGATAGAAAAGCTGATGGTTAAGAGATACTAAAATAAACTCTAGTTCATGTTTTAAAGATTAATTAGGAGACCCCCATCCTCATTAGCTTGCCTTTGCTACCTTTTAAGGAATAAAGACTATCATGAGGGCATGAGATAAAACAAAACATTGCTTGTTTTAAAGCTATGAGCAAAAAAAGAACTATCTTAAGATTGTATACCAGTGTAGATTTGTATTGTGATTGAATAACTTTATTGGTGAAATAATTTAAGTAGTTTGTCCAAGTAATATACTGAAATGGTTGATAGTTGAACATTAAATGAAACTTCCCTCCTTTGTGCTCTTCTCCTTCCTTTACTGTTCCTCTCCACCTGACATCCCCCCACACACACTTTCAGCACCTTTCTTTTCTCCTCAGCCATGATCCTTGCCATGGCTTTCACAATGACAATGTCTAAAACTCCCCACAGATATTTCTCACCTAATCTCTAACCCTGTTTACTCAACAGATTGTTGAAATAGCACTATTTGAATTAGTAGAAATGTATCAACTTGCCCTCTTTCCTTTTTGGCCAACTGCTTCTTTTCTCACCTAAGTAATAGTTAATGATTCCTTAATCCACCATCCTGGTCCTGAAGCCAAACATAACTAAACATGCATGCTATCTCCTCTACCTTTTCCTATCCAAGCAGCACTGGGCTTTCTTCATCTTCCACAGTCACACAGTTGTCTTCTGTCTGTCCCCATAGTTGCTGCTGTCTTACTTAAACCCTCATAATTTCTTTTCTTTTCTTTTCCTTTTTTTTTTCATCTTTTAGAGACAGGGCCTCTCTGAAGCCTCAGCTGGCCTGGAACTCACTATGTAGACCAGGCTGACCTTGAACTCACAGAGAGCCTCCTGCCTCTGCCTCTAGGATGATGGGATTAAAAGTGTAAGCCACCACACCTGACCAAAATGTTGCACTGAGTCCTTTCAGTGTCTTGTGTGTACCTGCATTTAGGGCTGCCCACTTGGGATTAGACAACCTCTCAGTGTGCTTGTCCCTGGAGAAAACTGGTCTCCCTCCCTCAGCATTCATTGAGTTTCTGTATTTCTTCATCTGGAGGTGAGACTCTGTGACATTTTTCCCATCCACCTTAATATGTCAACTGGTTTTGTCATTATAAAGATCTCATTAGACTACCATACTGTGGAGAGTTCATTGTTGTAGCTTCCCTCTCATTTCTAGAATGCGTTAACTAGCAGTAGGTATCTTATTCTTCTGGCTCTTACCTTCTTTCTGCCTCATCTTCTTCGATGTTCCCTGAACCCATGGCAGTGTTTGCATTGTAGATGTATCATTTAGGACTGGGAACCTCACAGACACTTAGTCTCTGCATTTGACCAGTTGTGGAATTTTATAACAGTCTCCATCAGTTGCAAAAAGAAGCTTCTCTGATGTGATAGAAACATTGACCAAAATAACTTATAGAAGGAAGAATTTATTTGAGCTTAATGGTTTCAAGGGGCAAGAGTCCATTGTGGCAGGGAAGCGTGGTGGCAGAGGTCACTGGAGGTGGAGTGGAAGCTAGGCGCTCACATCTTCAAGCAGGCACAGAAAACAAGAGAGCAACTTGCAAGACTTAAGAACTCTCTAAGCATGTCTGTGACATGCTTCCTCCAGGACAGCCACACCTTCTAAGACCTCCCAAAACAGTGCCACCAAGTGGGGACAAAAATGTCCAAATATTTGGAGCCTATGAGGGACATTTTCATTTAAACCACCACAAATGGTGAGAGGAACACTTTTCTGTAAATATAAGAATACTTATGACTTAGCTGTTAAAGGCTCAGGTTCACAGCCTAAACATCTTCCATATTTTTACTGTCTGCTTGTTCCAGTTCATCCTCATAAGTTTCTAAAATGCTGGTCACTCAACATTAGGAAAAGGTCATCTACAACCTAATTTTTTATCAAGGTGCATTAAATACATCTGGGAATTAGATGTTTAATTTTTTTCAAATGAATGCATGAAATCACACTTCAAGCAAATGTATTTTAGATGTTAAATACATTCTGTCAGAGCACTGTCAGATACATTTTTAGCTGTATATCATTTTCAGCAAGTCTGTCTGCTTTCCTACCCAAACATCTGGCTCAAATAGTTACAACTAAAGATTTTCATTATTTTTCATATTAAAGAACCTAGCAGATAGATATAAAGGTATATTAAATATGTATTCCAATTCCCAACTGCATCATTTAATGACTCAACAAATATTTATACACTAAGCACTGTAGAAAGCATTCTGAGAATTAATCTGAGAATTAAAGATGTATAAGATTAAGTACCTGCCCAGAACTTACATTCTAGTGAGAGAAATAAAATATGTAAGTGTATTATTTCAATAAAACATGAATTTCAATAAACTGTCACATAGAGGTAACTCTGGTATACCATAAATGCATATATAATATTTCTTAAAGCTACAATAAGGGAGTAATACAGCCTGCTTGTTTGTGCTAATTACTTGAAAATAAATCTAAGAATACACCATTTAGTCATGAAAGTGAACCAAATAGTTGCCTCCAAAAACTTGAACAAAATTGAAAATTTGTGGTAAAAATATGGTCATGCTTTGACATTGGTGTGTTTAACTTCTGTGAAGTCAGTTTTTAAATCATGTTACTCTTAAATCATGTCACTGAATATATTTATCAGTTGTTTCTAATTTTCCATGATTTTACCACAAGAAATTAGTATTAAAACAGAAAGGAACTGGAAAAAAATGAAACCAAAGAACTAAGCAAAGTTAAATAGATAAATGCTATGAATATAAGGAGTCACTCCCGTGTTTTGCCTCTTAGCATCTCCAATTCTCAAGCAGGGAAAGCCAAGGTGTCCTGGAGAAAATTACATTGTCCAGCCTCTTTCTTCTACCATCTACCTTTTTTTGTCCCATTAGGATACCTACTGGTTTTCTTCTACTCTTCTTTGCCTTCATTTCTTCCTTCCTATCTTTTTCCCTCCCTTCTTCCTCCCTCCCTCCCCCTCTCCCTTTCCATCTCCCTCTGACCTTCCCTCCTCTCCCTTCCCTTCCCTTCCCTTCCCTTCCCCTCCCCTCCCCTCCCTTGCACTACACTAACAACCTATACCATACCCTAACCCTAAAGCTAACACTAACCCTCACCCTAATGCTACCCCTAACTCTCACCCCAACCTAATCCAAACCCAAATGCTAACCCTAACACTTAGGCAAACCTTAACCCTAATCCTAACCCTAAAACTAACCCTAACCCTATCCTTAACTCTCACCCTAACACTAACCCTAACCCTAACCCTAACGCAAAGGCAAACCCTAACCCTAACCCTAACCCTAACCCTAACCATATCCCTCCCTCTAACACTAACACTAACCCTAACCCTCCCCCTAAAGCTAACCCTAACTACCCCCTCCCCTCCCCTCCCTTCCCTTCCCTTCCCTTCCTTTCCTTTTCCTTTTCCTTTCCATCTTGCTTTCTACTTTATTAAGGGTCTGCAATGTTAGTCATTTAGCCTAGCCTGGCCTCCAAGTCTTCCTTCCCCAGCCTCTTAAGTGCTAGGGTCTCTCCCTTTTCACTACTCTCTCAGTAAATATAGCCCTAGAAAATATCTCATTGGTTCCATATTATCATGCTTTTAAACACCTTCCTACCTCCTTCCTCTTCTCATTCTTATAGACTTTTATCTCTACTATTTTTTCTTTCTTGTCTTCCCATGCACGCATAGACACACACACACACACACACACACACACACACACACAGAAGGGTGGGGGCATGCACATACACTTATGGCTGTTAAGCTTAAGAGCAAAACTAGTGAAATAAAGAATAAGACAAGTAGCATAACCTTCAGGAAGGACCAGAGACACGAGCATTCTTCTCAATCCTTGCCATGAGTTAATTGATATAACTCAATTGGAAAGTGATTTAGAAACTTTGTGTCAAACTTTCAGAAACAATCCAGAGAGAAGAGCTTCATGAAAAGCATTTTGTTACAGAATT